CTTCATTTAATTTCCATGAAAGGAAGAAGTATCCTATATGAAGAAGTAACCTGTATTTAAATAATGTGTTCCTCTACAATGTGATGTTTCCAGAAATCCTTATTTGAAGCTCAGATCCTTTCAGCTACATGTTTACAGTAGGATTTTTGGAAATTCTAATGGTTCAGAAAGATACTTAATGCTGGGTGACTTTCCTTACCGTCCTTGAGGTGGGAGGGGCAGATGGACTGGTTAGTGACATGATTTCTTGAATGGCCAGCCTCAGCTTCAGTCTGTGCAGAGGATTACTGATTCCAATTTCACGCTGTATTTCTGTATCAGACAAGGCTGACATGATAGCACCACTTTTCACATTTGCTCGGCAAGCAGCCACATACCAGGCTGGCATCCCAACCCACAGCTGAAACACACAAAAAAAGGAAGTAGGTAGGCTCTGGAAAACATTCCCAGCTCCAAAACTTTACATTCTTTAGAAGTCTTTACATTGAGGTTTTTATTTTGTGTTTGTTTATTTTGCAGGGACCACTTACCTCCAACCACACAACCACAGTAGGCCCATCCCACTGTGCAAAAGGCAAACCTTGTCTTCTGGCTTCCTCTAGCAACTCATGCCTACAATTACAGAAATGGTTATTAGCAACCCAGAGAAACTCGTTGTAACTAGACGTTACATTTCAACACTGCATTTGATTTACTATCTTCTTTCCAATAGTTAGCCTTCTTTCCTTCTCAGCCTAATAGGCTACACCCACTAAGGCAGCCACAGCACACCTACAAGGACTACGTAAGCTGAACTGGATAGGAAATTTCAGAGTGGCAGAGATGCTGGATCTTGCCTTTTGGAAATTCGTGCCTGAAACTGCTCCTGAGCCTCTAACCAACACTGCCAACACAAAGTGGAGATGTCAGACTTCTTTGTCAGATTCTCAATTGCTGCAATTTTCTGTTCAGCAAATTAGATTGAACCAAAGTAGTCATTTTTCCTCAACAAACAGATTTGAAACATGTGGAAATGTATGAGTGCATCAGACATCCACGCCATCGAAATGGTACTGTCCATCAGGCTGTTAAGGCTGGAAACTGGGCCAGTAACCATTTAATGGGTGGATTTCAGTCTGCAATGGCAAGCCTGACAGGATTTCAGACACAGCTTCAGACAACCATTATATTCAGAGTGCCACGCTTTGGCAATTGTATTCTGAAAGTCTGTGTACTGAAACTCAGCTTTCATCTCCTATGATGACACCATTTCCTTTGTTATTCTGAAACAGAAGAGACTGAAGTTTAATATTGACAATTCAGCTTACAGAAACAATGGAAGCTCACAAGATCCCTATAAATAGCTGCCAAAAATGTCTGATAAACCAGGAGACAAAAACTAGTGTTGTGGATATAAGCATGCAATGTTGCTTGGTTACATCTATCTGAAAAAATGGGTAAAGTCTGAAAAAAGCATATTTAAGCTGCCTTTGAAAGCTAGTTGTATATGGTTAAGTCTCTGCTCGCTCTCCTTTGAAGTCAGAAAAAACAACTTCACCTAATTGGACAGTTTTCACTGTTTCATGCTTGTTATTCATGCCAGCAAGTGTAGAATCAAGATAAGCAGGAATACTACAGGTTCAAGATCCTATGTTATATATCTATCATCTTCTCACAATTTAAACCAAAAATTTAAACCAAATCTCCTTGCATTCGGAACTGTATCACTGAATAGATCTAAGGTGATATTTAAAAGTTACAGATATGAAAAAACTACTATACAAGACACCTTGAAAAGGGATTACTGACAGACTAGTAGCTTGCTTTGCTGCTAGTGCAAAGTGGATATGCAGTACTCAGCTCTTTCAGACACGCTAGCATACCTAGGATCCTCATGTTATATTGGTAGATAACTACAAATAAAAAATAATCAACGAAGTAATAAATATACTAGCAACTGTTTTACCAATAGAGAGTACTTCTCCACCTGAGTGTCAATAAATTCCTATTGCTCTAGAAGAACCTCTCAATACTTTATCCTAATTAAATGTGCTGCCCAGGAATGAAAAAAGGGGAGGAAGGAAGGAACTGCCGTGTAGCTGGTTACAAATAATCATTCTAACGTACCCATTTTAAGACCCGACAATTAAGGTGGGAATAGCGTTCGGCAGCTAGCAGCTCAACAGCTAGATTTCACTAACAAAGAAGAGAAGACCACAAAAGCCAATACATGTTTGTACACTTCAGAGAGATACATATATTTCTAAATTAGGAATGAAGGATCAGCTATTTTCCTGCTACTGCGTAACACATGACATTAATCCCACAAATCACTAGCCCTGAATACATTCAGCTTTGCTTCACTTTGTTGTATAAAGATTAAAAAAAATGAGAAAAATAAATGAGTAAGATATTAAAAAATCTGCTTAGTAAGAACAGAATGAAATGCTTAATACTGTATTTGCCAGAAAGGAATACAATGCTTTTTACAAGTAGTTTAACTTCAAAATTGGTGTCTTTGTCTTCCTTTTTGGTGGTTGTGGTACCACGACCGTGCAGTGAGGGAGGCCCACAAGTGATGTAAGGGCACAGATGTGCCCAAAATAGCCTCCAGTTTGACGAGGATGACCCCACAAGAGCATGTAATCGCTGCCTCTCCCCCAGCTTATAAAGCTGCTTGGGGTATTGCATGTAATTCAAAGAATTGCAGTGTAATTTCTGGTAGCTTTGTAAGTTCCTTGCGTATTTCAGGTTAACCGTGAAACAGCAAATCACCTGGAGATGAGCAGTACAGGGAATGTATCAAAGAGTACGGACAGGTTGTGATGCAAACTTCAACCTCACGGGGGTATCGTATGCAGAAAACAATTGTGTGGCTGGAAGGAAGTGTTATGCGATGGAGCCAAATGTAGAAACAGAAACAAAACAAAAATGTTTAGGAGATAATTCTATGCAGAAATTACTCAGTGGATCCAAAACGAACGCATCCATGAAGCGGAAAATTAACTGCAGAATTTGCTCCTATGCAAGAAGAGACAGAAAACTTGCTTGCACAGGAAATCATTAAACTGAAAGGTCAAGACACAGCACAGGCACAAAACCATCTCATAGGAAAAACTCAAAGGCAGCTGCTGTTTCAACGGCAAATGATGCATCAATGTTTTTTCCTATAGTGGAGAAGTTCACTTTTTCAACAATTCCCTTCCAATTTCACCAAGAAACTCACTGCATTCCAGCAGTACGTGATCAGATTATGTAAAGATCACAACTGACACGCCAGTTCAGTTTCCCAGGCCTTCCAATGACACTGTTTAAGAAGTGGGTGCAAAATCCAGCCTCCTATGTTGGTGAGGAAAACCGTTGGCAGTGTTAACAGATGGTATAAAGCTGGCACTGTGAAGGGCAAAAGACTGTCAACGAGTAGCTGGCTACTGGAATAACTCTTAGGTGACGAAACCAAGGGATAGATGCCTACAGACTCAAAAAGCTGGCTGAATATCACTTGGAACGGGAGAGCAAATGTGCTGCTGCAAGAGGGGAACACTTGTTGTTGGACAGGTTCAAAAGGCTTCTAACACCAGCTGGGGAGAACAAAGAAATTGTGGCCATATGGGATGAGAAATGGATGTCAAAACTGCAGGTGCTTGACGTAGTGGTGAACACACAAGGCCCTTTAAAGACCACTTGAAGTATCTGTATTCAGAATGGCTCTTGGCAGGCAAGCAGACACTAAGCCCACAAGGAAAATAAAGCAGCCTGGAGCAACATCACTTTGTCACTGGATTAAGACAGCATGGGAATGGATAAATCCTGAACTTGTAGCCAAAGGGGAATGCTGTATTCCAGATTTCTTGGATGGAACTGAAGGTAACTGATTTGGAAGAAGTTGAGAGTAGAGAAAACACTGGAGAGAAGGTGGTGAAGTGACAGTAATGGAAATGACAGAGTTGCAAGGTGTAAACACTGAAAGGGAACAGTAGTAAAACATGAGATGAAAACAGACTAATTACAGGCAGAGCATCAGTGGAAAATTAATATCCTTATTATATACTGATTTCGGGTATACAATACAATTTTTGTGTATATCTTAAATTTAGGGTTGCCTTCCTTTTTGATTAATACAGTATTAAGTTTGCTGTGTTGTACGCAGAAAAGCACAAATACAGGTGTGGCAAACACTGTCAATAGCACAGCTCACAAGATGAAAAACAGCACAAACAAAACACTGAAACCAACTTAAATCTAGTAAACAAAGAACGACGGTTTTACAGAAATACTTCTACCTTGGAAGCAAATTGTCACAAATATCAACTATTGCTAAACAACTTTCAAAACCCCAATTACAAAACTAGTTCCATCTAAGTAGGGTTTAATATTTCCATTATAAAAACTCACACCATGCAAATTAAGACAAGACATTGAACTAGCATTCACATTGAACTAGATGGCACTGGATTTATTTCAGCAACACATTTTCACAATAAATTCTTTTTAATCTGCTATCTCCTCCCATAATTAGACTTTTTTGGGAAAAGTTACAGCTTTTAATATATTGCTAAAAAATCCAAATGAGATTATTCATAATTATACAACAATCCTAATAAAAAAAATACAAACTTACCCTGATTTTGCACTACCACATGAAATGGTAAACAAAAGGAAAATAAAACAATGAAGGAAAAATATAAAACTAGGATTAAACTGAACTCAAAGGCATACAAAAACAGACAAGTAATGTATACTGTAATTTAATTCTGTAACTATAAATACATTTTTGTTAGTAAAGACATTGACTACTGCCCTCAGCCTGTTTGTGTGCATGCATGCAGAAATCAGAAAGATAAGCAAGCAAACAGGGATTAGAGGCAGCTATAAATAGAACCAGCTGTCATTGTTCCAAGCATTCAGGTAACTAACTGGAATTCTTCTTGCTGAATCGAGGACTTCGTAAGCGAACAGTCAGCTTCAAGAATCTGTTTTAACTCCACTCTCCTCCAATATCAAAGCACAAAGCAATTCGGAGCAGCTTTGCCACTTTTTCTTTTTGATAATGAACATCTCAAGGCAGCAGCAAGGGATCTTTGACACTTTGTGATAATATTGCTTCCTATGTTCAGAATACCTGTCATGATTCTGAAACATCTGGATTAAAGTTTCTTGCTGGGATTTTTAAAGTGTTGGATTTGCTTCTCATGTCCAAAGGGCCCTGCTGCTGCTCTCAGCAGTAAGTGTAATAAAACTAAACATTATGATACATATCTTCATCAACACAGATTCACTGAAATATCTGAATCACAGATACCTTCCTGTGAACAAGCACATACCCACGTTTAATAGCTGGGCAGGGCAATTTCAAACTAAAAGTGTTCATTTGTCTCAAAGATGCCTGCCTTTTCAGCAGCCAACAACATGGAGCTATGAGGTACACTTTAAGTAATACCAGTAAATTTTTGAAAGGCAGTTTACTAAGAAAAGTCATGATTTATCTGCAACTGCATTTTTTGCATTTAAAGTACAACAATATAGATCGTTATACTCTAGAATGAAATTTGTTGCTGATTTTGAGCTAGATCTATACTGTTCAAAGAACAGGCCTACCACTATGTCGATATGACCAGACTAAAACAATTTATTCAACCAAGATGTGGTACGACTTTAAAGCTCTGTAGAAAAGGGAAAACACCAGGTCATAATAATGTACGATTGCCTTCAGAGTAACAGTCTGAAGAAAAACAGCTGAGCCTTCTGTTGTACAAACAAAACCACATTCCATTCTGACTTTTCAAACCAACACACTGCTGGTTTCCATTAGCAGTCACCAGGCATTACTCTTATTTATTAACAGAGCTTAGGTACTGCAAGAAATCTCTCACAAAGAGAAAAGTAGCACACTTTCTTTTCAACGTTCACTGCTCTGTCTCCAGAAGGCAAGTAAAAAAGCAAGACACATCTGATCTTGGTCAGCTTTTTTGACACAGAGTAAAGACAGCTGAAGAGAACAGAAGCAACCCAAGTTCAAGGTATATGGCTCAGCTTTGGGTGGAAAGACAAAGAATGCCTGATCCTACTTAGATAAATTCGAGTTTCCAGTATTACCTCATAAGCATCAAGTCAAGATTTCTACCAGTAGCAATATTTTATTTTTCACCTAAGATTATAGTCTTTGCTTCATCTCTTACAAGAGTGGGAACAATAAAGCACGCAAGAGATACTCAAAAGTTGAACAGTATGCTAAAGATTTTCTTGGACACACACTGAAAAAAAGTCATGACTACGAAAAGGTAACTGCATATCTAGAAGGCGCTATAAAAAAAGGAAATAGGCACAAATTATTAAAAAGCAGAAAATTAGGGGTATATGGTGCAAGGAAAAAAGATTTTGGCTGTTAAAATATATGAGAGAAAATGTCAAGACAACCTCAAACAAAAGTATAAAAAGAATAATGAATACAGCAGCAATGAGCAACACAAAAGGAAAAACCTTCAGTCAGGACCCAGCAAACACGTACAGAAGGACGTCTGTACAGAACATCTCATGCTTTCACTGTCAGCTCTTTCATACGCTGGAGCAGGTTAACAGCCAAAGACAACTTTGGGAAATCCTCAAAATGGATTAAACCCAAAGTAGGTATTAAATATAACGAATTTAGGGGAAGGTTTGACACGAGTCCACTTTTATCTCCAAGTTTGTTTATTAGCATTTCAACACTAAGTTTTCAGCACTGAAATTAATTTCAAACTTATATGACCTATGCTATTATTAATGTTCTGGAAAAAATAGTAAAAAAAAAATCTACAGAGGCTTACTAGCCATAGCACCATACTAGGCAAAAATACCTGAAAACAAAACACAAAAAAAAGAAAACATTTTTAAACGAAGCAATACCTTAACAACAGAGGATTAAAAATATTTGTTAACTTACTTTTTCTGCATTTTCCTGTTTTTTTCTGCCTGACCTCCAAGCTTGCTGAGACCTAATGCATCCTGAGAGGAGCTATCTGCTTCTGCCATGCCAACTACAAAAACAAAAACCAAAACCCAGTCTTGTTATCTTCTCAGTTTTGGGCAGTTGTAACTCAAAACCCACTACTGCTTCACTGAACAAAGGCATTTAATCTTCTGTAATATTACTGATAGGAAACGTACAAAGCTGAACCAACAAGCCCATCTATCACTCAATTTTATAACTGAACACAAACCCAGCAAAACGGTGTATAAAACCAGGAAAATCAGATTGGTATGGACTCAAATAGGTGCTCCCTATAGTCACACAGAGAACCCCACGCTTCAACCAGCTGTAAGGTGAATTCTCACTGTTCCCATATCACTTACGGCTGGTGTCTACATCAAGGATACTGCTTTATGCAAAGAATTACACAGGAGAGAAAGGTAACCGTAGCATTTACTAAGCCAGCTGGGTTTGTTTCAAGGGAGACATGACTGATGGTGTCTATATTAACAAAAGCCTCTTTCACTTCTGAGACAGTTGAAATTTTTGCTTCACAAGACAGTACGGTTATGGCTATGGGAGACTACAGCAATACCTGACCAGCTGAACTTGCGTCCTACACTCATAAAAGGACCTACCAGAAGATTCAGTGTTGCACATCAGCATCAAAATCATCAGTCATAAATATGCCCACACTCATACATACACCATAAAATTCAGTCTTTCACTCTTACTGTGAAAAAAAAAAAACCCAAAACCCCCAAACTAACCTTGTCCTAGTGTTTCCTTGCTTGTTTGTCCAGGTCGTCCCTTTTCTTTCTTGCCAAACAAGCGGCCAATAGAAGATTTGATCCCCTTCTTTTTGGGGGCTTTATGAAGGGAATCTTGGCTACTATTACTGCTACTGGGATTACTTGTTTGCCCATCTTGTGAGCCTGTTGAACTTTACAAAAAAAAGAAAAGATTCAGAGGAGCACATAGACAACAAATCCACTGGCATAACACAGTGAGAGACAAGGTTCGTTTCCTGTGCAAGTTAACAAAAGCTAAGTAACTCACTAATGACATCTAATTTCAGCTTCTAATGGGTCATGACAAGAAACATATCTACTAAAATACATCTCATTAAACAGAAAAAACAGTGGAAACAACTAAATCATGCAAGAGAGGACGGGATAGAATATTTAGATACTATCGCATGCAACTACAAATCAATTCTTACTTTTTTATCACATAAGAATTGAAGTGTTTAAAGTGCAAATCAGAGAGGCCAAAATTGACAACACAAGTTTCTGACAAACGGAGTCAGACAGCGGAAGTTTGAAATCCTGAGTGGAACCCATCCCAGACGCTTAGGCACTTTGAAAAGAACATCTGTCACTCAAAGTAATGGTAATTTTGCAATTTATTTCTGAATTTATAGCTACATTCCAGTCTACGAAACAAGAGTGGAATGGTACATCTTGCACTTCTGAAGCAAACTCAATGCAGACCTTGTGGACCAGAAGAATTCTTTACCTAAAGCCACTTCTGATTATTAACAAAACCTGTGTCCACGGAACAATCACCCATGCATGTGTTCATACTCCTTCCTTTTGAGAAACACTCCAGTATCTAGACTAAAATCCTAAAGGCTGAACAGCTTTGCAGTTTTAGGACTTTATTCTGATAATCTGAAATACTATGCTACTGGTAGGTCTGACTTATTCACAGCTGCTACTTACTTTCTTATGTCCCTAATATCTTCATGGCTCACTGTGTGCAAAGCTCCTTTCTGGACTCTGTCCAAACGCAAAGAGCGAGGTGAAGAAGGTGGTGATGTCTCACATTTTATCGTAGTTTTATCATCTCGTACCTCTTCTCTAGAAACTGGAGACTAATGGAAAATGAATGAAAACCGGAGGGGTTAGTGGGACATGCCAAGACACGAAGGCAGTTATCAACACTACCCAAAATACTGAAAGGAAAAATCAATTATTTCAGTGTTGAAGGATTACTCTGGCCCTTACCATTCTGCAGTTGCCTATTTTTTGTTTGACTTCTTTCTGGATTTTCTGTTACCTTCAGAGACAAACTACTAAATTTCAGTCTTAGCTAGCGAAACGAGCAAGTAGCACTCCTCTTTTATTCATTCATAGAGCTAAGAACTAAAGTAATGCCTTCAGCACCATGAGACTAATATACCTGACTTCAGTTTAAGCAAGTGCAGAGACAGAAAACCAAAGAGTCCTGTGAAAAGAAGGCATCTCGATTCTCACTGTTATGTGCTTAGACAATCATTAGCAAGATTACCAACTCTATGAAGTCAGTTTTTACATACCTCTGGCTGTGGCTTAGCTTAAGGTTTGAACAGAAATTAAGACTTATTTGTGTGTGTACTAACAGATCTTAAAAGTTAAATATTGTTTCATGAAGATTGCAAAACAGTGGTTACAAAGAGAAAGCCACACAACAGTCCCCCACACCAGCAAAGAAAGCCAAACAAAAAAACCAAAACAAACCCACACTTCTGTTAAGATGATAAACCATTTTATGTTTAACATCAAAGAGCATATAATCTTGCTTTATTAGAGTTACCCTGCAAATGCTTTCTTTTGCGTCCCTGTTATCCATTAACGAGTTTGAGGACAAGAAAGGAGACGAAAGGGCACACCAGTAAATAAACTAAAGATTTTTACCTTTCTACGGTGTTTCCTTAAATCACTAGGCTGATAGATGCATGCAAAGAAAAGAAATTTGGAAAAGCTGTATTTATTGTAAACTGTAGCAGAGACTGAAACAACTAGTACAGACAAAACATATTAGGAAAACTATAAATAACGATTACAGCAATGGCACAGAGAAAGATACAGGGTATGAAGTACTCTTCAAATCCCACACTTAAATGTATCACTGAAGAGGAAAAAAGGAAGAAAAAAATAATCGAGACTCATAGCTGGCTATCTATGACAGTACCACAGATACTTGACTGTTGGTACCATAGCCAAATTAGCACTCAAAACATGCCTTATCTTCAGCAAGGAAAAAAGGACATGTAGGCGCACGGCGTTGCTTTTAAAAGGTGAGAGCATTTCCAGCCACGTGTCAGGGCCTTGCGCTGAGCCACACAACCCACGTGGCAGCCGCAGCAGGCTTAACGCGGTGTCTGCACCAGTCCCTTCTCACACCTTAGCGATTTCTGCAGTTGCTCCCTACACAGCACAAAAAGCAGCCATTCTTTAAGAACTGTGAAAGACAGAGTGCCAACAGTAGCTGATTTCTATACAGTAACGGTATTCTGTTCTTTTTACTAAGTTTAAAGTGCTGGAATGTGAGTAACAGTCTACCACCAGTTTATTTTATCCTCCCTCCACACTGTATCTCACTTCCTAGGTACTTCTGACCTCTGCCAGCGCACAGAGCAAGGCAGCAACCTTGAGTTACATTAAAAAGTTATCAAATTATTCAGACCAATGCTGCCAAGAGTTTAATATAGACAAATTGTTTATCATTGCACCTGGTGACAAAGTATTTCAAAAGGCTGTAACCAAAAATAAAAGCCAGTCCCCTTTGAAGCTGGGGAATCATGCATTGTTTCCCTCCCACAAATGACAAATTTTAATCACTTTTTTTATTTAGAATACACGCAAAGGATGCAGCATTGATATGTAAAGTTTTGTTCAAGCTGACCATAGAGTACTATGCTAAGAAAACCGAAGTTCATATAATCATAGAAGGGTTTGGGTTGGAAGAGACCTTTAAAGATCATCTAGTCCCTCCCCAAGTTCTTCAAAGCACAGCAGACTCATTTTACCCTTGCTGATAACCCATGAAAATTGAAGTGTTCATGGAATGAAACATTTTTGTTTCATATGGAATGAAAACCGTCCACAAGAACGGTTCAAGAGAGCTGTAGGCTTCACAATTTATCATGCTGATGCTTTTTAATTCATTTTAATCACGAGGGTTTTCCAGCTAACTGAACTGCCTAACACCACTACTGCAGTTAGCATTAAGCTAATTTGCCTACGTGACTATAAACTAATGCAACTTTCTATTAAAACACTGGGAAAAAGCAAACACAAGAATTCAATCTGATAATTTGCAGTAGGTGTTCCAGAAGTTTCTAGAAATCTCTCGTTCTGTAATTACAGAAGCATAGCTTCTTGTTTTCAAGCTTTCACAAAAGCTTTCACAAATCAGTTGCCAGGTACAAAAATGTCAGACAAATGCAACTGCAAACAATGGATCAAGTGCCTTTGATTCACAGTTCTTAGGGTCTAAAGTGAACTTAATTACCGTTTACTTTTGTTCAATTACAACAGATTTTAACAGAAAACACACATTATTCTGAGCTGGTTTTCATGAAAATAGTCACTTGAGTTTTTTATGGTTTTCTGTAAGAGAAGTACTTTGCTTAACTACTTATTATCGCGAAACATTAGAATATAAACACATTTAGAAAATTGTTAGTTTCTGCAAAAGAAGTGTGCTCGACCCTGGATATACAGCTAGAGCTAGTATAAGGATTTTTTTTTTTTTAATTCAAGAAAGGCAAAGTTATTCCTTTTTTTTAAAAAATAGACTATTTGGTATATGTACACATCCATTTCAAAAAGCCAGCAGTGGTAGTTAGCTGAAGCACTTATTTTTAAACACTCCTATAAGAGATCTGAATGAGCCAAGTCAGTCATTTACAGTCCGCCTGCCTTACAGCGATGGGTAGCATTCCTTGGCTGCTGACTGCTATGATACAGGCATGTTACAAGTACAGTAACCCAAGACAATAAGGTATAGTACGTATGGTGTTGCATGTACAACTAGTAAGTACAGTTTCCAAATGCATACACAAATCTGGAGACAAGGAAGTGTACATAGAACTGAACTGGAGAAGGAGCTTTTCCTGGTGAGTACTTGCAAATAAATACCTGTATCCAAGATGCTCCTTAGTGAAAGGTATTCCAAATAGGAGAAACCGTTAGGTTGGCTTAACATTTATTTAAAACCAAGAAAGTGGAAAACTTTTGTCTTGTTTTTACAGGTAGATTTACATGCATAAAGCAGCTCCTAGAAGGACTAATTTTTCTATGTAGTCATATGAATGTCAAAAGAATGGATCCATCTTTCTCTATTCGCTGAACTGCTAAGCCCAAACTGCTACTACATCAGCTACTAGGTGTAATGGATACTCCTCTGACCTACCAGTCTTAATAGGCTAAAAGAAGACTTGCTCATCAGTATTAAAACAGCTGCGATACCTTCACAATCTTCCAGTTTAATGCCATGTATGCAAATAACTTTTTAGCTGAATATTTAGTGGAATAGTGGACTGCTAAAAATAAAGTTTAAAGCAGAGGGAGAAAGTGGTTGCTGTACCAGGGGTGGAAAAGAAAACATTATTTCTTCTAGGAAGAGGAGTCAGAAGAAAGACCATAACAACAGAAAGAATACTTAGGCATGAGATGTTGACCAAATAATAGACTTGAGTTCTGAACGTTTTTCCTAATCATTATGACTGTATCTTACACTTTTTATAGAAGTTGAAAGGAAGCAGTAGAAAAACCTAGAGAAAGGAAAAATACAGCTGAGTAAGAAGGAGAGGAAGGGGAAATCAAACAACCCATTTCCTAGAGAAAAGGAACACTCTTCTGAAAAATTAAAGTTAAGGGATACTTACCAGTGTCATGATACCTAGTCTGTCCACTTCCCGAGCTGGACTATGTGGAATCCGCCTTGGGGTGGAGCGGCCACTGCCAGGTGGGGAAGAACCAGCAAGTGAACCACTTGCATAGGGAGGAGGAATGGAGCTCATGGACCGGAATCGGCCATGGGCATCCAAACTTCCACTACCCACTCTGCTTTCAATCTCCTCTGCACGCTGCTCTGTGTTTTCCTTTTCTTCTTGTATAAGCCTAAAAGAAAGAAAAAGTTTTAAAAGAACATGACATTCCAACAAGTACCATATAAACAGAATGGCTGACTCGGGCATCAGAATGAAGCAGTACTTATCAGACAAAACAGCCACACTGAAAAATCCTCTAATCCCATCTGAAAAACAAGTGGTTAACAGCACTGCTATTACCACTGTGCAGGGGTTTCTGTCAAACCAGTAACATCCAATCCCTTCCATGAATGGGACTGAAGACAAAGAACCTGAAACAGGCAACCTCGTTACTTCTGTCAGCCCCCCCACCAGGAAACTGAACGGGCAACCACCATTTTCCAAGTAACCACACAGAAAGGATTTCTAGTGTCACTCATTTTTATCAAATCCTTAACAGCAGACAGGCCATACCTAATCTCCTTGTTGATTGCATCCAACTGTTCTTGAAGCATCATGGCCAAAGTCTGAGCATCAGCCTGACCGCTTGGCGATAGCAGATCAACTGAACTGAATATAGTCTCCCTATCATCCTCAACATCAGACACATCAACATCACTTTCAAACGCTTGTGCCACATTTGCCAATACACTTGCTTGCTGGGCTCGCTCCCAGTCCTGCTCGTTCAGTGTCTGAACCTAAGAGAATGAAAAAAATAAAAAATTCAAACTCAAACGGGAAAACCACGACATTTCTACTGTTTTTCAAGATGTTTCGAATAACTTTTAAAATGTCCACTTACATGCTGAATGCATCCATCAAGACAGCCATGTTTAGAGAAATGTAAAAAAAAAGCTATCATGTAGAAAACTTTGCATCTTATAGTTAAGCCAAATGCAAAAACAGAGAGCTCCACTGAATAATTAAAATATCACATATCTTGGCTATATACACTACAAATTACAGCAGAATTTTGCTATCAAGTCCAATGAGAAGTTTGGAATCAGCTTTAGGTAATAAGAATTGTGTTTCCTAAAAGGGACTTGAAATTGCTTGCAGAGCAGTAACGTGTTAAGAGTAGCCTATAAACACAAAAGTAGGACTGTTTCACATTCTATTTTACAGGCTTCTCATAATTAAAACAAATTGGAGTTCAGCATCACAATTTTGCAATTATTTGTTAACAATTAAAAAGACCAGTAGTCCTGCATTAGTTAGCAAAGCAGGATCTATAACATCTAACTGTTTACTGCTACGTACTCCTATTCTAGAAACTCCTTGCAATAGATTAGACTCATCTAATCTATTTTGTTGCCGAAGTTTTATTTTTATTTTGATTTCAGAGTTCTATTACCTTTGAAGGTTCATCTCTGAGAGCCGCCAAACGCCCTTTCTGGGGACGCCTTAACACTGATGAGGTGCCATAGGAGTCTGTGTGACTGTCAGCCACAGATGCAGATGTCAGAGGGTATCTGAAATCTGAGCGGCTAGAACATGAAGAAACATTTCATTCTTACAAAGGTAGAGGGAAGGGGGAAAACAAACCAAAAAACCCATCCAAATGATTCCTCTTGTCCCACCAGTGCCGTTTTTTTTTAAGCAGTATAAAACCTGCTTTGTATGCTCTATAAAGAGTAAGTCTTATACCTATGACTAAAGGATATTCTGTTATAATAGACAAAATTACATTTAGCAAAATTACTTTAAAGAAATTAGAAAAAACTAAACTACAATTAAGTGCTGGTACCTATGATGAAGCGATGTGGCTCTGAGTCTCACTTGGTCATTTTCAGCCCTTAATGTTTCAATATTTAATACAAGTTGATCCTGTAAAAATAAATAGATAAAACACATAACAATATGCTTAAAACCAGTGCAAAATACCAATTTATAAACTAACACTTTTTTTTGATCTCATTTCTATGAAAGTCAGAAATAACAGATTTCAAAACATACCCTTCAACGTCAAAACATAAAAACTATTTGTTACACAGAATACAGCACCATCACAAAATGGTGTCCAAGAATAATTCTGTTGCCTCTCTACACTGTGACTCCAGGTAATGACAATATGTATTTTAAAAACAGCTACTAAATAAAATTCAAATGCTACTAAATTTTACCATAATGAAGCGATAATATTTAATAAGAAACGAAGATTTTTCAAGCTCTGTGCACAAAAGGTTTTAAACGCATTCACATTTTTACATGCTCTAGAAACTCAATTTCACAACGGAGAAATCCAATGAATAAGAAAACAACGAAAGACTAATAAAAAGTGGCTGATGATAAACATCTGTGCCTTGGGTGAAAACGGCTGGCCTCCACATACAAAAATTCAAAGCACATTCTGCAAAGTATTCTGAACGCGTTCTTCAGTTTATTACAGAAGCACAGCCCCTGCAGTTTGGCCTGGCTGCTTCCTAGAATGATTTGGGGAGATGCAGTCCACCTGCGATTTAACAAGCAGTAACAAGGATTATTTCAGAACAGATAGCGTGACCACACCATCAACTGCCACTGCTTAAGGATGCAGAGAAATGAATGGCCCCAGCACTATTACTCAAGAAGGGAACTTGGCAGTTCCAGGACAAGCAGAGCACCAGACAGCTGCTATTGCAAAGGAGCAGCCAAGTCTAGTCTGTATTTCCTCTCCCTACCCCCCAATTCTTACAACTTCAAAAAAAAAAAAAACTTTTATCTGTCAAACAAGCATTTCATGGTTATCAATGCTTTAAGAAAAAACTTACGAGAAAATACCCAACATTAAAAGTATTTCTCTTTTCACTGTTCAAGGTCATACATAAACCAGTGTAAGAATTCTACACAATCTTCAGACTCTGGCAAATTACCAGTATCTCCAGCCACTTTGCATATTCAGAAGTGTGTTAAGTCTGAGTAAAAAGCTATGTATTATCTATAAAATCATAAAACTGAGGCACATAATACCATAAAATGAGCAATAACAGCTCCCTACTTTTAAACAATCAGGTAATGTTAGGTTTTATGGGCGAATTTAAATGTGGTCCTGCTATGTAGCAATGCAGCAATTATTTTCCAGCATAGTATTTCAGAAATGCGTATTATACCTTTTCATGCTGAAGTTCCTCTATTTGTTTTTTTGCATTTTCAATTTCTCGAAGAAGTGAATTCTAAAATAAAACGTATCACAAATTATCTACTTATAAAATCTTAAACAAACCATAACCAAAAGGAGTACCAACACTATACAGATGCATCTTAAGTTACAAATACTTTATTGCTTACATCATTTCACTTTGATTATAGCTGACTCTTTACCCTTTCAGGTGTACAGCCCTCTACATAATGGATTTAGTAAAAGTTCCATAAAAATTTAATACCAATACCAGCCTTTTAAAGCTCTGTTTGACAAAACTAGTAAAAAAAAAGGGAATAATTAGGCAGCTAAAATAATTCCAAGTCATTCACTGAGCAGTTATTAAGGCACTACTGGCTGTTATCATTAGGTTTTCACTGTATTTTCACTTGCCTGCCCTACAAAATTACTACACAGTAATTTCTTGGAGGTACTGTACCTCCAGAACTGCAACACTCACTGACTTAAGGGCCTTCATTAACATCAGAGCTGTTGTCTCTACAATTATACCATGACTTCTAAGCAACTCCAGTAAATGTAAATACTTATTACTACTACTATCTCTACTCAAAGCATTTACAAATTCAGATGAAGAATCATCTGAGAATTAAGAAACATTTGAGACCTACAACAATGAAAGAATTTCAGCTATTGTATTTGACTGTAGCATGTGATACCAAGAAAAAGAACCAGAGATTCCAACTTCTAATAGGAAACTTAACTGGGTCACTTTCTTTTCCTTCTCCACCATTGCCAAAAAGTTCTGCTAAATACATTTCCTTGAGGTAAGTAATACCATTATTACAGGTTTAAGATGCAAATAAAGTTTCATAAGTGAACAAACAAATCATTCTGGGAAAAAAGCCCAAGTGATCTGAAGAAAGTCTTAAAATTTTACCTGCCTGTTTCTTCCCAACTTCTCATAAAAGAATGAGCTGGAAGCCACAGAAAGAATACTTTTCTAGAAGTGGTTACTCACAGCAAAGGACAACTATTTTTTCCTCACTATTCATGAACATAGTTAGGGTTTGGAAGGCAAAGGGGAGTTAGGGTCAACCCTAAGACTCACCCCAAAATTCAAGCATTTAAAAAAAATTTGCAGTCAGCTGTTTCTCAGAAATCGAATTTATACAGCCTTAAAGCAGCCTTGTTGATGTCATAACAAGGCCCATAACAATTTCTGAAGTATTAGGAGCAGTTGGTGATCTTGAAAATAGTGATGTTAACTTAAAAAACCACAAGACAAAGTCTGCAGCCTTGGATGCCAGATGACAAGCACCTTTATCATGAACTCAACGGAGGAGAATCAGTAGGGCTGACATTTGTTCTGCACTACTCGATTCCTCCCAGCTCTGAGGGCGCAAAAGCAGGGAAAAGAATGAATTGAATCTTTCTAATGATCTGAGGGGAGCACAGCCTTGGAATTGAGGAAAGACATGTCAGATACCTGACTGATGGTTTAGGGACAAGAACTGAGTTGACATAAATGCAAGAGAAAACAAACATTTATTAGAAGTCCAAATACATCATTATATATTGCAGCTGAAGCATTTTATTGCCATGACTTTAAAACAAAAGCCACTCAGCTTTTATTGAAACATTTCCCCAGATGGTCATTTCACCCTGCAGTAAAAGAAACCAAGTATTTTTTCAATCCACAATCAAGCAATTCAACGTCAGCGTCAAGCAAAGTGCTGCTTTAGAAGACACTGCTTTGTTCAATGCAGAATAAGGAAATCTAACTTAAAGGCATGCATGGAAGAAAAATCCAGAAGGACCTAGATCAAAAAGCAGAAGGGAAAGAAACAGAGTAATGTATGTCACAAGTTAGAAGATGAATTGAATACAGGGGAAAGCTCTGAGATATGCAGTGACAACGCAGGGAACAGCCCATTTATAACCTGTCTCAAAATGATCTACCTGAGAAGAAAATGCAAGATTGTTTCAATTTGCAAGAATCCCAGGATGACTCAGGGCAACTGGTACAGACAAAAGCAGTAGGAAATAAAAGAAACTAAACTGAAAGGGAAGGGTCAAAGTTCTAGTCCTTATTCTTTAGACTTCCTGTATTACACTGGATGAGGCTATTTATCCAGTCCACACCAGTTAACTAGGAAAGAATAAAGCTTCTTAAAAGACGCCTTCTCAACACTGTAGTACAACGGCCAGGGTCGACCTCAAAAAAAAAAAATTAATTTAAGAACATATTTCCAAAATCCACACTAGAAAACAGCCTTAACAGAAACTACTTATAAGGACTTAGTATTTAGTTACTGAAGTCACAGACAGTTGCAAAATACACAAAACACTACAGAATGTTGAACATCTAATTAATAGATATGCTGGAATGTGACTTGGTACCTTATCTTCCAAGGCAGCCATCCTTTCCTTGAGATGAAGCTGGAGCCTTTCGTTAGATTCAGACAGAAGCTTATCAACAGTTTCTGACAAACGTTTATTATGCTCTTCATTCATCTTCTCTCTCTGTCTAGCCTAAGATACACAAAAGCTACTGAAATAACTAAAATATACAATGTCTATAACAATGTCCAGACTGTAAAAACCAGTAAGCTTTCTTTAATCCAAACGCATTTTCTTTACTAGAAATATTTTCCTCCGTGACCCTGTGAGGGAGTATAAGGGACTCTTAAGACTTTAATAACTGTTTCAAGATCAGACATTTGAAAATCTGAGCTTACACTTCAAGAAAAAGCAAATTTCAGAACCAACTCCATTATTTATAACCTAGGAACCAATTTTTCCACAGTCATTTAATTCAGCAAGTTTTTGATCTGTCTTCTCACCAGAAAGTATGACTAGCAATTAGGTATTTCCGAACATATTTTCAAACTTCCATTTGAGACTCGCAGCTTTTTCTTGAGATTTAAGGTTAGTCATAGTACAGTTGCTCGAATGTCCCAACTACCAGCCAGCCTAAACTCTGGCTTTACTTCAGATACAAGAAATGAAAACAGCTTTGCTGCGTGGTAGGCAGCCGTGAAGGGATTAGATTCATTCTTTCAGCTTTGTATCGTATTATGTATGTATTATATACGGTACCCTTTGCAGTTCTTGATTCTTTTCTTCTAGCTGCGCTTCCATCTGTCTCAGTCGTTCCTCTATATTGCCATGTCTCTCCTCAGCCTGTCAATTTGAAAACAAAATTAGAATTTGGTGGTTGTTTTTTTTTTCCTGAAAAGGTTTCAAAAGCATAGAAACACTGAAGCACAATAATATATCTAACATGCTTTGCGCAACTGCCATTTATGGTAATGCACAATGCAGAACAGATGCCTTTCTGTCACTAAAGGAACCGAGTAAGAGTTCACATGGTAAGTACAAAACGATGAAGCTTCTGACCCCTAAGTACCATGAATCAACTACTGTTTGCAAACAAGCTTGCAACAGCAGAAGTTCATTCATATCCCCAAGAATTAAAAAAAAAAAAACAAAAAAACAAAAAAACCCAAAACCAACAAAACCCCCAAAAACATATCTGAAAAATGCATTTTCAGCTTTTCCTCACTAGCCTAGACAATATGACCCTTTGTTAGTAATCATGACAAAGCAGAAAGCAGCAAGCAGAAATAAGGACTAATACACAAATTCTACCTTCCTAAGCTTGGTGGTAAGTTCCAATACTTTAGCATCTTTAGCAGCAGAGTTCCCAGGAGACAAAAGGTCAGACTACAGAGCCAGTTAGGGCCAGGAAAGATAACAGGGAAAGAAATGAAACTAAGTCTTTAAAAGAAAATGCACACACATACTTGAAAAGGCTCATTTGTAGTTACTACATATAACTCTTCAGACTTCAATATTCCATTTGCAGCCTTTTAAAAATCTTAATATTAATGATTATCATTCTCTCTCTCTTGCCCCGCATTCCCCACTTGGTTAATGGTGGAAGAAATTTGGGGTTTCCCTTCAGAAACAGTTCTTGTTTTAGAAGGCTTTATGTCTATTATTGAATTCTAATAAAAAGCAACAAAACAGTAATTCAGAGAGACATTTTCATAATGTAATAGAGTTAACAGAAAATCTGCTTGAGTTCCAAAGAGCAGAAATTTTAAAAAAGTAGTAAATGAGTGCGTTCAGAGAGATGAATGGAAAATGCAGAAAAGGAGAAACATTTTCTGAACTAGTTGGGGAAAAAACAGAAACAGAATGTAACAAAATTAACACTAAGAACAGATTGCAGTAGCAGGACACTAACAGAGAAGAGAGTCTTGAGGACACTGTCCAATTGACCCACCTTTGAAAGTGCTGCAACTCTCTGTGCCAGCTCAGCTTCCACCTCCGGCAAGGTTTCAGCTTTTCTCAAAGTCTGCTGCAGCTTTTGCTCAGCTAGTTCTAGTCGTTCTTGCAATTGCCTATTCTTATCTTCACTCTACACAGGACAATGATCACCAAATGTTTAGTGTTAAAATTGTAATTAATTTCCATCAAAGAGGAAGGTAAGGATACAGACTGCTGCCTTTACTAGACCTACAGAGAATAAACTGTGCAAAATTGCTTTCATAATCAAAGATGTGGCATCCTCCTCTTTGTTACACGAGAAAATTTTTTTCTCTACAAATTTTTTCCTGCAGACAATTTCATGTACTCTGAAAGCAACTGTATCACCAAATAAACATAGCTACAGTATGGAAAGCAGCATAGAACAAGTTGCAATTTTTCTAAGTCAAGGCTGTGCTAAGACTGAGTTACATCAAGGAAAAAATTCCTTCAGGTTTTAAACAACACTACGCACATTATCAGAAAAATTATTTTCATTTGAAGTGTGTCCAACTTCTATTAAGAGTTATACTAAAAGGGACTTCTCTTGTTGACTAAGAGCTGCCTGCCTCTAGTCAGAAACTGATTGGCTGAACAACCATTTCTGGCTTATGCAGTTGGACTAGTTCATGTCAAGCACATGTCAAGTTTCCTCCAGCACTAAGGCAACATTCAGTTCTATTATAGTCTATAAAAATCACTACACACATTTTAAAACTGTTTTAGCTTAGAAGGAGTAATTCTCACACATGAAACTAAAGATGCTTGGATACACATAGAGCAACTTAAAAATCCACAACTAATAGGGACAACAGCCCTGCTGCACCATGATCAAGTGCACTATAATGCTCAAAACCATCTCCCCTCCCCAGTAAACTGTCATCTTCATTTCCAGGGTAAAACTCTGTACAACGCACTCCTCCAGTTACTGAAAAGCAATTGCTAACAATAGCACATTACAGATGACATTTATCTTCCTAAAGCAAAGTGCAGTGCGAACATTAATTATTTCCATTAGTTTTATGCTGAGCAAAATGCACTTTTTTCATCTTATTTCAAACTACAACCTGTCGATGCATGGAGTCTTTAGTGGCAATTTCATTTTCAAGTTTATCATTGAGGTCATGCACAGATGTAGCTTCACGTTGTGCAGCGAGGTAGCGTTTCTCAAGAGTTGTAATTCTCTCCTCCATGTCTTCCTTTTGGGCCATAGTCTGTGCAAGATAGGACAGAATTTAGAACATAAGGGATAATCTAGTGATCAAACTAGGGAGGAAATCCACAAACCAAAAATAATAATTAAAAAAAAAATCTGATATACCCTGTTATTTCTCTCAGTAAAAAAAGGAAGGAGAAAGAATAATGTCCCTTAGGCTTACAAGTTCAACGACTACTTTTTTTTTTCCAACAGTGAATGCTACCACAGATCTCCTACTCACCTTTTCAACGACTACCTAAATTTTGACAGTTTATTCCTTACCTCTCGTACATCTCTCTGTAACTTTGTATTCATTTCTTCAGATTTTATTAAGTCTTTTCTAGCTGTGTCGAGATCTTCTTCCAGCTCTGTTACTCTGCTGGACAAAGCGGTAAGACGTTCTTTCATTTGCGTCTGCTCTTTGTTTTGCTTATCTATGATGTCTTGGAGTTCAATCACTTTAGTAAGATTTTCATCATGGCATAAAGAACCATCAGAGGATCGCTATTAAACAGTGGGGAAAAAAAAAGGTATTTGCTTGTTACACAGAAATTTGAAGAGCAAACTGTTCCTTACCTGTAAACAACCCTCCCCCAAGATAACTATTATTGGTCAGACTGCAAAAACTGAAGTTGTGGTAACTGAGACTTTTCAATTGAATCGTCACTGAAAAATCTTCCATTATATTTTAAAATTAAAATTCTATAATTAGTGATTAAAAACGAGACATCAGCTAAAAAAGCAAATAGCTGTACCTTTCCATTTGTAGTTGGGGTATTTTCTTGTTCATGATTTATATCCAGCATCCCATCTGGAAGTGTTTTCTTCTGATTATTTTGCTCTTTCAGAATCATTAACTAAAAGAAAAGAAAAGTTTATACACATATGTTTCAAGTCAATTCCTTTCTCACTAATAATATAAGGAACAGCTGCAGAAGCAAAGGAGCAAGACAACAATTACTGACTCTACTGCAAGGTACATATTAATAAAATATGGCACAGGGACTCAAAAACTTGTGACACTGCAACCCAAAAATTCTTATTTTAAAGCCACAGGAACACTTTTTCTTATTTTATTGGGTTTTTTGGTTGGGTTTGGGGAGGAGCAGATGGGCAGGGGGGCAGGGTTTGTTAGGTTTTTTGTGGGTTGTTTTGGGTTTTTTTTTTGTTTGTTTGTTTTTTGTTGGGTTTTTTTGTTTGTTTTTTTCATTTCCTGCTTTTTCAAAGTGACTAAGTTAAAAATAATTATCCCATTTGGGGAAAAAAATCAAAACCAAGAAGTGGAAATGAACCTTAATTAACTAAATAAATTACTGTGTACAAATAGTGACTAAAACACCCACAATGCACACACGAGGACTCCTTTTAAAAAAATGAGACCTACCTCTTTATGCGTAGTACCTAGTTCTTCTTCCAATAAGCTACATCTTTCAAGTGCTACTCGTAACCTCTCCCTTACCTGAAAGAGTAGTTTCAAATAATTTGAAATAATTCAAATTAAGAAGAAATCAATTTCACTTATTGCCATGCTGCCAAGCCCTTTCAGATAATAAATGACACTACTTCCATTACACTTGGAGACCTGCTTAATCTTGAGGCAGTACTAATTACAATATACACTATGAAAAACCTTCTAGAGAAACAACGCACATCTTAAAATCTAGCTTTTCCTTTTTTGTCATAAGCAAATCACTTCTCAACATGATCTGTACATTTAGGCAAGAATTAAACATATCCAGAATTTGCTTATCCTTTTGTAAGGCACAGAGTGTATACGCTTTTGCTTATTTACAACATGGAAGAGACAGAATTCTACTTAAAATAATTCGCCAGACTGTACAAACCAGGGTCACAAAAGGTATGCAAACTACGAGCTTGCAGCAAAATTCACAATGAACTTTACCACCCACGTATCCTCCTGCCAACATCAGGCATAACTCAAGGGCAGAGTTCCTTTAACTCACCTTTATTTTATATCACAGTGTATCCACGTTCCTCTCTTCCCATTCTCTCTAGTCCATTTCTTGTATTACATAATCCAAAAGCTAAATCCCAATATTATACAGGTAAGCAAACGTATGCATTCCTACAACAAATGTATTGCCCCTGAACCATGCTCAGTTTACATTAGCACAGTTAATGAAGTACTAGAATAAGCTACAGCACCTTGTTTTAGTGCAACCTCTTAATTTAGGGGAGCAGTTACTGATGCAGTTACAGCAAACCCACTACCTTGATACAGAGAAAGTTCAGAGACTTCCATAACTTCACTAAGAACAACTGCATGGACAACCCAAAGGAAAGAGGGGGACAGGATGAGATGATGTTAGCTACCATATTTCATTACCTTTTCATCAAGGGCTTTATGGTGCTCAAATAAAGATTTTAGTGCTTTGAGAACTTCTACTTCACTAGAAACTCCTGCTGGGGACTGAGCTTGTCTCTTTACAACAGTCATTCTGAGAGATCGCTCGTGCCTGGAGACAAGACACTCCAAATGTTCCAGTAACAGCTAAAACAAAAAAAAAAAAGGAACATTTATTCCTGTTGCGCATAGCCACAGAAAAATTTGCCTCCTAAAACATCAAGTTTAGAGTTCTAAACTTCAAATCTGAGAGCCAATGAGTATTGTGTCAAGCATAAGGATCTGTTTTTAACATTTCACCTGTGTTGGAAGTTACATCTCTCTTTCAGTCTAGTTTTCAAATGAGGTTTCTACGTAACCAGGTCTTTTCAGTTCTGCCACCAATCTGAGGAACTGCATGCTTGTCAGAAGGATACACATAGGAAATGCTCTGAAACAGAGAGGAACTGTTCTGCTGGCAGCAGTGGAAGTTGCTGAAACAGATCACTACAGCTTGTCCACTCTATTCCTCTGATCTCAGATGTTGTACGATTACAAAACTTTAACAAGAAGAAAGCTGAATGACAGACAGCAGCAGTGCAGTCTTACAAGCTTTTCCTGATTCTACACAGCCGTATTTGGAGCTGTGCATAAGCTTCCAAACTTTCTTAATAACACACATTTGCCCTTTCAGGGGGATTCATGTGCAAATACCAAGAAAAAAAAAAAAAACTTTTAGCTTTTCAAATTGAACATTCAGTGCTTTTCTCCATGTAGCTGGATGCTTTAACAATGGCAATCTTGGAGAAGACAAGGAACTAACCCTGGTATTATTTCTTTCTGCTTTCAGTTCAGCAATTTCTTCTTCCCTTTCAAGCAGCTGCTCCCTGCATACATTTAGCTCTTTTGTAAGCGCTGCAAATTCCTGAAATAAACCAGACAGAAATATAAGCACATCAAATATCAGGATACAGTGAGAGTGGATTCATATGAACACTTGACAGGATTTCTTGCAAGTATTCATTTCAGGTGTCTAAAGCCAATGCAGTTGTAAAGCCATGCTAAGCAGGCTTAAGTTCAAACACTTAAAACTGTTACACTGTCAACTGTAAAGATAAAAGATGTTTGACCAGTACTTTTGAAAAATCATTTGTCTCTCACAGCAATTATCTGAGTTGGCGTTTCCCTGGTAAGCAAAGTGGAAAACCTATTTGTAACGCACTTTGTTAGTGCTTCAAGAAGTTGTTGGGTTGTGGTGTTGGGTTTTTTTTAAATGACTGCTGAGGGAGACACGAAAAAAAAAACCAGAGCATTAAGTACAGTAAAATACAGAAACCAGCAAAACACGACAAATTTCAACTCAGCTTTTAATTGTGAGAGCCAATGCATAACCTTGGAATCTATGGAATCTACCAGAATACACAGATTACTTTTTTTTATAACAGAGCATTCCTGAAGCTTCACCACTGGAGGACTCAGACCTTGACCTGCATTTGTCTACCTAAGGCATTTCATTTATACCTACTTTCAAATCTCACAGAATAGGACTGAAACAGCCCTCTCCCTATAGTCCTTGCTAGAACTCTCAGAGGATTAGAATCAGAATTTTCTAAAAGCTGAGCCCTTGGGCTCAAAGCCCTCAAAAGGCTTTCCCTTCCAATTCAATGAAGCTTTCACTAAACAAAACTCAACCAAAGTGAAACAGCACATAGAGTGAAAAGTCATCAGTGAAAAGGAATTAAGCTAACTCACAGCAGTTACTGCATGTTTATTACTACTGTGAACATTAAGAATAGTCAATATTAAAGAACATATTTCCACATTTTTGGGTTTCTCTCAGCAAGATACGATTGTACTGAATAACTCAAAGAGCCACTACATCCTAAACCGTTTCCACTCTCTATCAACAGCCTCACTAAAAATCCTCAATGTAAAAGGCATTTAAACATTTTATCAACTCAGTGAGCATATTCTGGATAGAATAAATGCTACAATTATACATCACATCCATAAGCAAATACTGAGCATAACCTTATCTACCTACCTACTTTGGCAAAATCTAAGTTGTAATCTGAACCACATTAGAAATTATTAAGAACAGCAAGAGTGAATGTGAACAGGTCCATGTTTTAGAAGAGGGCTTTGTAGGGAACAAACAAACATAAGTAAATAAATTGAGTCTTCTCTATTGTCTAAAACAAGGAACACACTTTAATAAACAAGAGTCATGTCTAAACCAGCAGATTAGTACAGTTGAACTGGTGATGATCAAGACAAGGTGAACAAGACAAACGGCCAACTAAGAAGTTAATACTCTGGAAACACACTGTGGGCACAAACACTGCTTCTCTACATTTTCCAAACTCTGCAAGACACACTGCTTAACAGACAGCAGCTGAATATCAAATAAAAGCTTAAGATGGAGCTGTTTTGCAGTAAAATTCGAAGTGACAGAAAACACATGCTTAAAAACAAAAGGACACATCAACTAATGGACATCTGTGAATTCCAACATGCAGCTAAAATAAGCAGACATAGTCAAAAGACACTGTTTGCAAATTCCAAGATTAATTCTGTAAACCTTATTCTGAAACACACATGTGACTGAATAGACAGAAAATACTATTGCACAACATACACCTACAGTGAAGTCCATTGTAATTACGAATGTATTAGGCTTTTAAAAGTCATGAAAAATACAGTAATACCACCACCACAGATGCAGAATCCATCTCCATGGATTTTTCCAAAAAATCTGCTCATTGGGAAAAAAAAAAAGATTCAGTATAATCCCCCTAGTTAATCAGCAAACGACTCAAAAAAAGCGCCTTAATTTCTTTTCCTTTTTAATTGCTAAAGAAAAAATTATTTGATTTCTTTAACATGCTTAATAATTGCACTCACGTAAATATTTTCCTGCAGTATTTCATTTGCATCCTTAAAAAAACCACCTGGCCTATTATTTTCAAGTAAAAATCACTGGAAATACACTTAATTAAGACAGCCTGGTCTGTAAATACAGCTACTGGAACTTTTAAACACACAAAACAAACTACAAAAGGTTCCCGAGCGCAAGGTAAACCAAAACCTACTTCAAGCTTCAGAGAAGCTGACTGGAAAATTGACTCTACTATGAGCTTTCCTTGCAGAACGCTCCTTCGCCTCCTAACTTTCCCTGTCCCTTCAATATCTCACCTATGGGAGCTTCCAAGACTCCCAGGCACCTGACAGCACCCATCCCTTTTGCTCCGACAGTTCAGGTAAACCAGAATACGGTTCCGAAGCTGCAGTTCTTCACAGGCCTTCCCCGCTTATCTTTATGTATTTCAGATAATTAAGTACTACTGAAACTACTAGAAGTACTAATAGACTGAAAGGATTCGCAAAAGAGCTCGACGTGAACTTATTTTCTCGGTGGTGTTTTTGCCCTTCTCAAAGTAATTTAAAAAACCCTGAAAATGCCAACATCAAAATTTACAAGCATCAGCAGATATTACGCAGAGCTCCAAAGGACGTTGGACCGACACGGAATAGCCTACATTTTTCCAGTCTCTACCTCAAGAGCAGGATAAAGCGAGCAGTAAAGACTACCAGACACTGTTTCATCATCGTTTCTCAACTTAAAGTCACTGTACAGCATTAACATACATTTTCTTATCTAAGATATGTATGAGCTTCATCTTCTGAAAAACAGCTTTGAAAGGAAGTCTATTCACTCCTCAAATGATTATAGTACATACAGTTCTACTCCACTGCATGCTTCTGCGCAAATATAAATTGTAGCACAAACATATCATAATTACGACACAAACCATCACATTGTCAGATGACCCAAAAAGAACAATGCACACAGGAATTTATACTGCTGCTGCATAAACAGACTGACATGTATTCCTGGCATTGCATAATACCTCAATTGCCGGCTGTTTTGACAAAATACAGTTGCTTTGAGTCCCATAAACTTGAATGTCCTTAGTTTCAGCTGACACTGCCAAAAGACATGTCCTTTCTAGTTTTAATACTTACCTTCAACAGTAGACAATTTGTGATTTACTCAAGCAGTTCAAAAGGAGAGAAATTATTCGCAACTTTATCATCTCAAAAAAAGTTTGAGTTGTCTCATAATTTCTTCCTTGGCATTAGATGAATGTACAGAAAGAATTAAAGGAAAAAAGAAAAATCCCGAGAAACTTTTCTACCTACTCACAAAGATATATCACTTTTCAGTAATTAAGAATAAGAATATCAGAACCAAGTTGTGCTCTGCTTCTGGTTGCCATCAAACTGATAAATACCCAACACTGAGGACTGACAAGAATGGGACTCAGAATATGCACTTTAGAGGTCTTACAAGAACCAGTCGGAGGGTGCCGAATACGCTAGGTAAATACCCCCTGTTGATGAGAACATACTGACAAACATATACTAAACTGAAATGTTTACTGAAGAAAGTAACTTTCTGAGCCAACTGAACCATTCCAAAAATTACATTCTTGCTGCCAGAAATACTCTCACCAAAAAGCTAAATTAAAAGAAAGTTTGTTGTTGTTCAGCAATACATTTTCTGGGGGTGTTTTGACCATACACTCAAAACAGATTTTTAAAAGGAATAGGATTTCTTCTACATCAACCTTCAGAACTGACCTTCAACCTTCAGTATTTTAGAAGCCACAACATAAACATCCTTCCAAAATTTGGATCAGCTGGTGTCTAGCTGACAAGCCGATACATTTCTGATGTCCAAGTTGACAGCCACTTGGTCCAGCACACCACAGCTTTCGGGGAACAGGTTCTTTTCATCATTTATAAGTTCCACAGCCAGTACATCACAAACCAATAAATGCTACATGGCAGGAAAGACAGTATTTAACTTAGGGGAAAACTTGAAAGAAACAGAGGTAATCCTTGAAAGTCTGTTAACATAAGCTGAGTATTAGGGATGCTCTAAGGACAAAGAACTGAAGTTTGCTTGAAATTTACTCAAGAAAAAAAAATTTAGTCCACAAAAAAACCAACATCACTCTTGAGTGCATAAGGAATCATGGGTTACAGGCAACAACATGACCCGAAAGGTATGAAGATATAAAAGATATAAAAAAAGAAACATACTTTAAATTCAAAGAAAACATTACTAAATACTATTAAAGTAGTATCTTCTGGCAATACAAGGATGAAGATGCAACTGTTGCATCTTTTGGAACATGTCTGCCAGAAATAGGAGTGGAATTTATCTGTTTAATCTCCAAGTAATATTTTGTTTTACTGTTAACATTATGTTCTGTAGCCTGCATATCAGACAACCCACTCAAAAATCTGAGAAGCTGAAGACAGCATGAGAAGAACAACTGGGGAAAGCACAGGCCATGAGGGATAAGAAACCAAAGGAATTGGAGATAAATTTCCATCATGTTATTTACGCTACATATAAACCACAATTATTCCAAATTATGCATGAATGAAAGAGACAAATACACAGTCCTTATAAAAAAAACAACAAAGAAAACCTAAATATCTAAGCTTTTTCACAGCAACTCCATTTTAAACCTAAGTGTTTTAGGTAGCACACATTGACCCATATCCACAACATTTGGAAGCTCCTAGCAAGCAGATTTTTGTACCTATCAAGTCACACCAGTTTAGCAAGGTTTTTTTAAGCTAACAGTCAGAATTATGAAATAATTCAGGGGTATTTAGGGTTAAAACTGAAAAGAATTGACATGTTTTAATCATTAAATCCAGGCTTCCAAGACGACACAGTTACACACACTTTAACAACAACAAATCCAGAAGAAACAGCAACCCACAAACTGTGCCTTGCCTGTTCTGCATAATAACTCAGACTGCTTTCAATCTTTCCATATCTCTGGCATGTGCTAATGGGAAAGAGAAAAATCAGCCTAGAGTGTGTAAAGAAAAATATTTTGC